ATGTACACGCGATCATATGCATATACACACACACACACCAGATGCAACTGATGCCAACTTCGCGCTCGCGCAATGTGCTCGTTGTTTCGCCGCGGCATGTGGTCTCAAGAGTTTGCATTCTTTTAAATATATCTTCCTATATCGCCGGGCGACGCTATCCTAATAACATCTCATTTAAATCTACGTTAAACTACACATGTGAGGTTCTCCGGCCGTTTAATTTTTGGCCACCGAACTCAGAATTTTTGGCTAGATGAATTGGCGGACAGGTGCCGGTTCCAGTCACCCAGGTGGGGGCGTCAAATGGCCTTCAGACTTCCCAGCATGGGAAACGACGTACGCATGTGAGGTACTGGAGTTGGGTGAGACGCAGAAGACCTGCGAGGAGCTGGAAACGTTTGTTTCTCAGCACGCTGCACTCGCCTTTGCTGAAGCTATCTGGGAACTTCGAGGTATATCCACAACGTCCTAACGCTGGAGCATAATGAGCAAAACTATGACTTGCTTCGGCACAACTGAGTGAAACTCAGACCAGATAAGACTGCCATTGTCCTCTCCGGCATGCAGAAGTCCTTGAGGCAACCATTTTGCAGACGATGTGGCCAAGTTCCTGCTTGATGGCAAAGGCACGCATACCCACGTTTGGGGGCAAAGCTCATTCGCAAAAAGGGTAGTGCTTAGGCCTTCCGCTGGGAATCGTCAATGTAGCCGAAGAAGCCCTTTCCACACCCCAGGGTCAGGCTGGGACACATGCTTCACATTTTGCAGTAAACGCGCGCGGATTTTGAGGCATTGAAGGTCATGATCGAGAACATTGAGCGTAGCATGCGCTCTGGAGGTCCACTGCTTTGAAGGCGCAAACTGCTCCGGCAGAGATGGGACGTTCGCCTGCGAGGCAACAGCTCTTCGCTGGATCCTTTTGCAAATGCCGGGATCCCTGCGGTGTTCAGAGTCCTGTTGCCAACAATTTTAACCTTTGACCTTTGACCTCATCTCAATGTCTCGACGTTTGCTTGCTCAGTCTGCCCATGGTAAGTTGCTAGGTGGGCGCAGCATCCACTGTGGCAGCACCATCAAGTGATCCAGAGTGGCAGAAAGATCTGCAGGCCTGATACTTGCCGCTGTGCCAAAGCTTTTTGGGGAACTTTCTCAGGCTGCCCTGGCCGAGCTTGCCAAGAACGAGCCGGAGGCAGCAACATGTAGAAAATTGCAATGGGCTGCATACAGACGCAGCCAGTGCTCCAAAGATTTAGTGCGAGTCTTCGACGCATTGCTAGGAGTGCTTGGCATTGACATTGCAGTACATGGGAATGCAAGGAATGCAAGGATTGCAAGGATCGTAGACCAGTATTGTACCAAGGCAGTCAGTCCATCGCTGCAATGTGATTTAGTAGTAGGGTAAAATAGGGCCATTGCGTTTTTTTTTTTTTTTTTGTCATGGTGATGCAAAGACTTTCTAGGTACGACGAACTGCACTACAGATGCTCGTCAAAATGACGGAGTGTGCCTGCCAACTTGGTGACAGCTTGTTAGTCGATGTCTGCCCATTTGAAGTTGACATGGCTAGGGTATATTAGGCCATGAAATGTTCATGCCAAAAACACCCACATCCGATTTTGACTCCGGAGTGTCTTTGTCTAGGGCTTTGCCTGGACGAGTCGCTAGAAACAGTTTCAACAGATCGGAGCTGTACATCGGCAATCTGACGCCGCATATCACAACAATGGCTGTTGGTTACCTCACCACTCTTAAGTGATGCTTTATGTATGCATGTGTGCATGTATACACATGTGCATTTATGCATGTGTGCGCGTATGCAAGTGTTTGTGTGTGCATGTTGTTGTGATTTGTCATGTATGCATGTGTGCATGCATGCATGTGTGGATGCATGGGTAGGACATGGCGGAACAGTGGGTAGAGCAGGGAAGGGCAGGGTAGGGGTGGGTACAGCACATGGTCCTCCGTCGCCCGGCTTTTTTTCTGTTAAGTTTGAGGAATTCGGCCCTAGCTTCAAGGAAAAGTTTTGACGAGGCGTACACTGTGGCAGGACAGTCGGAAGATACGTTGTGTTTGAGGTGCTTTTGGCATAAAGGCCGCACGTGGTCATCTGTGACTTGCCCGCGCATCAGACCCTGCAGTGGTTTGTTGATAGCTCTCTTTTCTTTCCCTCAAGCCCTTTTTGTGCAACTGCGGGATCAGCCGTTTGGGCCGCGTCCCTATGTCACAACACTGAGCTTGTCATGAGAAAGACCTTTTTCCGGGCATTGACCATTCCCGTGACGGTGCTGAAGTGTTTGCAGGCATGCTTGCCCGCGAAGGTGCCCGAAACGTGCATTTGTGAAATGCTCGTTCTAGATTCAGGGGCAGGTTGTTCGATTGCTTGGAGCAACGACGTCGTGAGTTACTGTACTTTGCTAGTGACCACTGTGACTTGTGGGACATAGTAGCCTTTTCCGTTGCAGAGCAGTGGATGAGGTCCAAGAGGCTAAAGTGAAAGACCATCAAATCCTGGAGCATCAAGTTTGCCCAGAGGCACGTTGGCAAATATCTCACGACAGTATCTATGGTCACGCGAAGTCGGCCGTCACGGATTTGCATGCACAGCTGTTTCAACATGCAAAGAGCGCATGAAGCCTATCTTACTCGGAGGGATCATATAGCCGACCTTGTCCAACTTCACATCGTAATTGTGTCATGGAAGCAAGAGCTTCCCCGACCAACCACAGCAGCCCCCGCTGGTGAGCAGCTGCGACTGCCCTTGGTATATCAACTCTCCTTCGCAGTATCTGAATCTCACATGTTCGTTTTTCATCCATCGTCTTTGTGGCGTCTCTCACAGTGGGCCAGCACAATCCAATGGGGCTCCGTAGCCCATTGTGCAGATGCTTCATGCTTGGAGTTGCTCCTAGATTGCGGTGTTGTTTACCGGGTCCGTATGACCATTCAAAAATTCGAAGCGCAGGGAAGATGGGCAACCAAGAAAGCCGCTATATCATGAAAGACATGCACCCACACTGTGAGTTCCCTCCCGCATTGGTAGGTGCCGAGCTGCAAATCTTCGTGGCCGCGTTTAGGTTCGTCATGAAACGTTATCATGAATCACTTCTTCCTGGCAAATTCCTTGCGCGTACCTCCCGTGCTGATCGTGCTGAGCTGGGGTACCGAAATGATTGTGCTGGCATTGACCGAAGATCTGATTACGCCAGTCAGTCTCGGATTGCAGATTTTTTCAGTCCCATTGCTGTCACAGCTTCACGCTCACCAAACATGCTTTGTCCGATTCCAAGATGCATCCTGACACTCATGCCTCAGTGGACACCTTTGGAGCCCAAATTTGTGCACGCTGATTACTTGATATACAGGCGTCAGAACAACTGATGCCTGTAATGGCTTGCAGGTGCCATGCAATTCTGTGAGCTACCTCTAGACATTCAAGTAAAGGGTAGTTGCAGCAGTTACCGACTGCACTCACACACAAAGGAAAAAACGCATGGGTGGATGGATGGATGCGTGGATGGATGGATGGATGGATGGATGGATGGATGGATGGATGGATGGATGGATGGATTGATGGATGTGCCGATGGCGCGAGTGTGCCCTGCCAAAGCAGCCGGTTGGAGTAGGGTGAGCTGCTCAGGTCGGGACCCGCTGAGTGAGGAAACCAAAAGTTCTCGAGAAAAGGGGTGCACCGAAAGACGAGCAAATGTTCCTGCACGGCAAATGGCTGTCAGAGAAAAATGAAGCTTTGAGCGCATCTCACTTCACCTTGGAACAGGTGGTCAGCAAAGTCCTCTATGGCGTGCTCATGCGTGCTCCAAGCATGTGATGCAAGCACTTCCCGTAACCACGCAAAGAGCTCCTGTTGCCGCCTCCCATCTCAATGTCAAGCTCTCTCCGACACTTCGAGTTGCTAGGAAGGTAGGCCGAGGGAGGTATTTGTCCAGGTTGATTCCCTTGCTGCCGCACCGCGCTGCAGCAGCCACGCATGTCCACCTCCGTGATGGTAAGTTAGGACTTTCTCGCTCATACTTACCGCTGACACCACAGTCGAAACCCGGTGAGTCTCGCTGTATTCGCCCGGTGTGGCTCCTTGAAGTTGTTCCTGAGCCTCCTGCCATCTCTACATGGTTAGGAATCGCTCTCATGCGCTCTCAATTGTCTCTAGGAAGGCTTAGCCTTGGCAGGTTTCCGCGTCTCGGCAAAAGCTCCAGCAGGCTCAGCAAGAAGAAGTCGGTCGACGTCGGCGAAGTGTGTTTCAGCCAAAGCTGGTCAACGCCCTGGGCTTGAGGCTGAGGCTCCAGGCCCTACCATCAGGGGAACCGACCATCCACACAAGTTGGCGGAGGGTCCTTCAGGAAGAGCTCATCATTACAGCTTAAGACATGCGGCGAGCTTTTTGTTGGATTTGTCCGAACAGGGCGCTACAGCCGATTGCAGGTGTGAGAATTGCAAGGTAGCACTCCCAAAGCCCTTTATACACAGATGTGAGATGATGTGTTCTTGGCGGAGGTTATCCGCGTTACCTCAGCTGCACATGGCAGGAACGTGGCAAAGAACCCATCAGAGCCAAAGTTCCGCAGAATCAAGATGGCCAATCCGGCCCGGGCCTTCCCTTGATGGGTGTTTTTTTGCTGACGCTTCAGCTGGGTGCCATAACAGCCACCGAGCTGCACAAGCCATCGTTGCAGGCTCGGAACAGCACAATTCAAGAGCAGAAATGTCAGATCAAACAACCTTGGCTTGCAGAGCTCTACTAAACAACTCTACGCAATCAGCACAGGCAAAGTAACAGCTTGGTGAGAGTTGTGCAGGAAGAAATGCCCTGTTTAGTACTCACCTCTAGCCAAGCCAGATCTACTCTCAGGAAGCTGCAGCATTCCACTTTGTCCAGCCATGGCCTTCTCCCTTCCATCATGGGATCAAGTCCAGATGCTCCTTGGATAGTATTTTTTCTCCGGAAGTTCGATGACTGCCCGAGCTGGCTCATGAGGCGTGGCCGCCATATCATCGAGGCCATCGACGAGAATCCACCGCCGGTCTGGCACACTCCTTTCCGTGTATGCGTTGCTGTCTTATCCAAGTTCCAGGTGCGAATGTCGTGGTACTTGGGGCCTGCAGGAATGTTGATGCAGGAGCCTCGGAGTCGTGTTGCATTTCTCATGTGTCGGCACTTGTGAGCTGTCATTGAATGCTATTGCTCAGGCTTCTCGTTGCAACAATGGTAGCATCATCCAGTGCAGCTGAAAGCCCAGAACAATTTCAGGTGTGCGTGCTGTTCATCATGACATGGAGCGAAGTCAACTTAGTGTGGTTAGCTTAGGTGTGTATTCAACAATGCATCCGGGTTGGTGACGAGCTCGAAGACAGGCATTCCGGAAAAAAACTCTGTGAGACTGTAAGACAACCAGTGTTCCCTAGCAATACCGTGATGGCCTGCTCCATGGAAGCTGTACCATTGAGGCTTCTCCAGTGCATGGACAGATGCGAGGCCCAGCTTCATGTTTCATTGGCCCAGCTGTGATATGTGCATAGATGTGACGCGCACCAGGTGAGCTCTTTCAGTGCTTCCGGCAAGGAGTGCGAAGAGAGCTGTCACAAGAAGGTGCTGCGCCGTTGCAGACCACTCGTATGTTGTTGGGTTTCAGTTGTTCAAGTAGGCTGTTGCTTTCCTGACGCAGAAACGCCTCATGAAGTGCTGTCAGCTTGCATGTCTTATGAACAAACCCAGCATTCAAGTCGTGTGCTGCCAAGCAGCTCAGTGACTGCAAAACATGCCTGCGTTTTTGTCCATGACGCATGTTGGAGCCAGGGAAACAAAGCGTATGGCAAAGCGCTGCCTGCCGATAACTCATGCATGAAGATCGTCCGTCAGTCTATCCAACTCATCCAAGTTTTCTTGCTGCTCCGCTACAACGTCACGGAATGCGTTTTTTGCGACAGGGGCAACGCCTGGACTGGCACCCAAGAGGAAGTGAAAGGTGGCAAGGACATGTTGCGAAAGTGAGCTATGGCAGGTGCACATATGAATGCAGCATGCCCGCTAACATCCGACCTTACTAATGCGATCTGACGGGTGCTTGCCAACCGCCATCCACTTTGCGGTGTTTGTTCACTTATGATAGGTTGGCCGGAATGCGAGAAGGTTTAGGTGAGGTGGCGCTCGAAGCACCTTGAGAGAAGCATAGTGAATGACAACGCATGCGTTGCATGCCCTGGTGAATATTTGCTTATGGTTCTTAGGCTTGACTGTGCTTGACTGTACCTCAAGCGCAAATTGCATGCCTTGTATGTGCACTTTTGGTTATGTTTTGATGCTAACATGTGCCCTGTAAGACGACCAAGACAATCCTTTGAGCTACATGGCTGCCAGGTGCACTACACCCGACGCCAGGTGCCCCTTGCAAGTGCTTTCTCAGCCTGTTGCCATATCCTTTGTATCTTGCGAAGTTGAGAACGCAACGACGTCTGGTTCAAGAAGAATTTTTGTTCCAGCAGCAGTCACGTTTTCAACGAACTTGTTTTGTGCAAGTTCTTGGTCCTGCACTTAGAGACCTCCAACCCGCCATGGCTTCACAGCTCCGACGCCGTGCAGACCAGAGTCGTCACAGTATACTTTCGGGGTGACTGCCTTAGAGCATTGTTCCAACTTCTTTTGGCAAAATCCTTACAGTATTTGCTGAGGCTTCTCCTGCTCTGCCTGGCTACCCTGGTGCCGAGGCAAGCTTTGCTCTCCAGCCTTTGGCTGAGCAATCTCCCGGTGATGTGAACTTAGGTCATGCTTTGTTCCTGTTCCGCAGAAGGCTGGACTGACACCGAGCCACATCATTCAAACCAGAACCTGACCTGCCAGGCTTTGGAGGAAAGAAGGTTTGCAAGCGCTGGTGCTGCAGCACTGCGCCCCTCTCAGCTGATTGGGTCGATCTTTCCTTCAAGTCTTCAGAGCTTAGAACTAGGCAACAGTCTTTTCAGCAAGGCTTGCTGCCTCCACGGGCTCAGCAGCTTTTGCAGATATCAAGGCACCTGAAAGCTCCAGAGCAGTCTGAGCAGTCTCAGTTCTTTGCAGATTCGCCAACAGTACAGGCAAAGCGACCCGAGGGACTTCCAGACTTTATTTCGGTTCCTGAAAAGGAGACGAAGTGATACGAGTTTCTTTGCCAACATTTTTTAATGTGAGGGTTTTGCCTTGACAAGGAGAATGATATCGCAAAGATCTGGAAGCAGTGGGGTGAGCAGTTTCTTGGAAGCGCATTGGAATTCAGTCAGGATGAGCCGCCGTTCAACTCTTACCAAGGCCGGCACAGGTGGGTCCATACGATCCCAGCCTGTCCGGTCTCACTGCGGATGAGAGGACTGGAATTCTCGGAATCTCAGGTAGCAATCAGATTGTTTTTGCAGCCAGAGTCACTGAGAAAGTCGGTGCCGCCAGAGCTTCGTGCAGTTTGTTCCAGCTGAGGATTGCTGGCCACATCCTGAGATTGATGCTGTGTCAGTGCAATCAGCCGATCTCATTGAAGAGCCTGCGGCTCTGCAAAATTGAGGCCCTTGCCATCTTCATTGTGCCTGTCCTGGTGATGTCGGCCTTTGGTTCCATCCTAAAATTTCCATGGTCAAGACCAAATGAGGACAAGGGTCGGATTCTATCTGCTTGCCCTCCCATATCTTCGTTTCTTGCGGTACGTTGCAGCAAAATCCTGCTGCTCGTTGACAGGAGCCCAAGCCTGGAGAGAAGAAGGTTGAAATTGACTTCAGCGATCTTCGTGACATGTGATACGCTTGTTTTGTGCCGGCGGACGGCAGTCAGATAGTCAAGTCGTCACATACATGGCCTGAGAAGATCTTGGTTCGCCATTTTCCATCGGATTGCCGAATTTTCCTCCTTGGTTTGGGAGATTGAGCGTCAAACTTTGCAAAGCAGATGTAGGACTTTCTGTGATGTTCACACTAGCTGGAAAGAATCTTCTTGATGTGCTTGTACAGGCAAAGCTGGCCTTGTAGCCAAACAGGCAGACCCTGAAGCCAAAGATGAAAATTCGAGGGCGAAAGAGTCCAAAGCATGAAGTGTTTCATGATGGGCCGGCGTTCGCATGCAGGTACAGCGTGAGATGGAAAACTGTGGGGAGCCAAGCAATCAGTGAGTTCGGCGGAACGGCATTTCAAGTTTCAAGTGTGATGCTGCATTCTCCCGAGGTCAGAAAGAGTGTGACCACATGCCGTTCACACTGCGCGTTTTGGCCGGGAGGGAAGTGCAGGAATAGAAGCCTTGCGAGTGTCAAGTGCTGGTTGCATCTCCTACTCAACCCAGAAGGAGTGCACAGGAGTTTAGCCGAACCGAGCAATGGTGCAGTGCATTTGATCTGACAGTCTGGCAGGCGTTCCTGGGAGTGCTCGCGGTGCTTCCGGTGGTGCCACTCCTAGGCTCATACAGGTGGGATGCAGCTTTGGCTAACAGAGAGCCCACTCTGCAAAGCCTTTTCAGGGATGCTTGCAGCTGTGAGTGCTGCAAAGGACTCTCTGTCAGAAGTGATGACCCGACCCACTGCCTTCCCCCGCAGGACAAGGTTGTTCTCCAAAGCTTGCACTTTTCAACGTGGTTGCGTGCTGAGCTTCTAGAAGAGGCTTGTGCAGCTCGTACGCAGTGGTCTGTATGGTTGGACCTATCGTTTCCGAAGGCTTGGACAGCCTACGGCTTCAGCACATTGTGGTGAGCACGTGTGATTGGAGTTTCTGACGCAGATCGCTTTTTTCGACTTCCCAGTTTCCTGCAGGGTTGCTCCTTCTGTGGCAGAGGACGTTGGAGACGTGGGTGGGAAGGCCTGATGTGGGGTTCAGTGTAGTGTCTCCTGCAGGTAGCGTCGTGCAGCAGAGATTTTGGACAAGTCCAAGTGTAGCAAAGCAACGCTAATTGCACACGCCAAGACATGAAGGACAGTTGCCTGACCAAATCCCACCAGGTCCTCTTCGTCATCACACAGGGGATAGCCATCGCGTGGCATACCTCAGTTGGAAGGCTGCTGCTGTTGACATGATTTCCTGAAGCTCTGCGCCAGGTCCATGTCAAGCTCGCGCCGATTTGCAGAGCTTGCAGAGGACAGATTGAGAAGCAGGGCGTGCTCAAAGGGAGGCTGTGTCAATTTGTCAAGGCCAAGGCCGTCGAGAACAGCTACCGCATGGCAGAGTTCGGCTGCACAGGCATGCTCCAGAACATTTGCTGCTGACTGCCTCCGATGCTGTCTCAGGTGCTGAGGTAGTGGGTGCATCCGTTGGTGCGGTGGGCACGCCAGTGTCCGTCAATGCCTTTCAAGACCTGCAGTCGCAAGTGGAACACCTGCAGCGTCAGGCTGGGACTGAGAGCATGCTAAGCACCCCCAATTTTCCAACGTCAGATTTTTGTGAGGTTCTGGAGCTGAGCAGACGGCAAGATCTCATGCAGGAGGTCTCCACCAAGGCATGCGAAGTTCTCAAAGAGCCAGCAGGGTTCAGAAGAACTCGTGCTATTTGCGAGGCTGCACCAGAAGCAGTAGTTCCAGATGTGCAGCATTCGGGCAGCACTGGGCCGATACCAGAGCTGATATGATTCTGGCCCTTCTGCCAGCACAAAAAAGAGCTCGATGCCATGAGTCAAGAAGCCTTCTCATGTGCAGTTTCATATGGTTATCTTGCAGAAAATGGTCCGAAGGCCTTTCAAAAGAAAGTGGAAGCCGCAGGTACGCCGGTACGCCAACGTGCTTCAGCACATTCGGGTTTTCATGCCGTGACTTGCCAGGTGGTGGAGTTGAGGCTTTCCCGGCTGATTGAATGTGAATGCTGAAGCGGACTGCTGACAAGCCCTGTGTCACCCGTCGGGCCCCAGGTCATGCTTGCAGCTGGGTGGCTTCCCGACACCACGGATGAAGGGGAGGCCAGATCTCGAGTTCATGCCGATCGATTTTCGTTTCAGGTTTGCTGCATTTATTTCAGGCCGGAATTTTAGGGGTCTGGTCTCGAGCTTTATTAGCGTTGAGGGTTTGGGTCTTCAGGTTGTGGATTTTCGGTTCAGGGTGAACGTTTGGGGTTTAGGGAGAGTCGGGTTCTGGATTTGTGGGTGAGACTGACGGCTTGGAAGCAGGTGCGGCTTTGGGATTTGAGACTTGGATTTGAGATCTTAGGTTTGGGGCTGGGAATTAGGGCTTGGGGCGAAATGCACAACGCCTGCTCAATGCCCTTCTGGCAGGCCAAGAAGGTTGAGATTTGCTTAGCTTAACGAGCCATTTCAACTTCCCAGGGCCCATTGTCAAAAAATCTTCTCTACAGGATTCTCTCATAGCCAGTCACGTCCAGTCCCCCTAGAGCCTGCTCTGGCAGAATGTTTTGCAGCTGTGTTGCTGCGTGCACGTACAACTGTTTGCAGTAACTGAATTCATGCTGTCTGGGTGCTCGGTTGGTTTCCGGAAGCCATGGATAAAGCGGAGGCTCATGCCGTTGGGGCTGTGCATGAGCACAACTGCAGACGGTTAGGACTGCTGGCTGATGAACGATTTGGCTGCCCAGCCGGAATCCCGGTTTACTTGAAGACTCTGTTTCCATAGTCGTTATCTGCGCTTGGCTTCTAATATGGACAGCTGTGACCTAGATAGTGTGAAGTTTGCTCCTGCGTCCTCCGCAGGAACCAGGCATCTGTTTGTAAGTCATTGGAAGGCGAGCTTGCCAAGTTGCCAGCGGCTCAGCATCTCAGAACTGCTTCAGGCAACGCAGCATTCCGCACAGCAACCCCTCAAGAATGCGCCCATCATCAGGTCAAGGAAGGTTGGCAGGATGGGGATTGTACAAGACACAACGTTGCGCTTTCAACTTGCCGAGCTCGAGGTAAAACCATGTGTAAAGATTGTGGTTTATGTGCAGACTGATAAGTTCGTGCCAGCATTTGTGCGCCACACGACTATGCAACCGCGTGATGATCGCAACGGGCTAGGCCGGGTGTCGTGACTTGTTGAACCAAAGTCGTCGGTCCCTGCATCCAGGCTTCTGTGTGCAAACTAGAAGAAGTCCTTTCTCGAGGTCTGCATGTCTTGTGATATTCAGGGAAAGGAAAGGACACCCACCTGACATGATACGCCAAGCCATTGCCTGAACATACATATGATATAACCAGTCCTTGGTTTGGCTGCCATCAGGAGACTGCAGGCAGGCTGTCACGGCTAATCCTGCCATCAGTCCCATGATCAGCTCGTATCCTATCATGTCAACATTTACGGCGGCGAGTCTTTCAGGACATTTGCTTACAGCCGCCCCTGCCTCCTTAACTGTCCCGGCAGCAGCTGAGTCGTTGTCAGCGCTCCTTACAAGGCCAGCTGCCGCACCGGCAGCAGCGTCCTTGTCTCAGCTTTTTTTGCGCATTGCTAGCCATGCCATGATGCTGAGCCGCTGCAACTGCTTGCGTTGAAGGCCCGCGATCCAACCACAACAAGCCGCCGGTTATGGAGGTGAGGGTGCCGTCCAGGTGGAAGGTATTCTACATAGCAACGCTCAAAATTTCAGGTGGCCTTCCAGGTGGCCTGCCTGGGGGCCTTCCTGGTGGCCTGCCCGGAAACAATGCCATGATGCAGCAGGCGCGTTCGTGTCTCAGCAGTCTTCCGTACGTCTTCCCGATTGGCAGATGATGAACAACCCGGGCATGATGCAGCAGGCGCTAGCAGAGCCCATGGCATGGGTATGCAAGGATGTGTTTTCCGGATTGAAGAGAGGGACGCGACAGATCTGTTTTTCATTTTGACGCGCTAACCCTGATACAGTAGTTATAGGACAGGTCTCACCCAGCTTGAAAAGAGTGCGGTGGCTGCGGCATTGGCAGGAGGGATCCAGCACCGGAACCCGCATAATTCGGTAGCGAGTTTGCAGAAAGAAGCAAATGGAACTCAACACTGGACAAATTAGTCAAGCACAAGAATCCAAGACCAAACATGTATTCCACCCGAAGACTGGATTATGTCCATCACCAAGGCAGAAATCCCTCAGCGTGCCAGATACATCTAGATACAAGATTGCAGGCGCAGCAAATGATGCAAGACCCCAACATGATGGCGCAGGCAGGCTTGCTGTACCTTCGTATTTTTTTTTCGGATGTCACTGCATGTCGCAGCCTCACTGAAGCTGCTGCTAAGCCAGTGGCTTGAGCAAAGAACGCTGCTCTCCGCGTGTGCCAGGTCTCGTTAGCGGGAGCTAGGCAACTAAAGACCTCTCAATTCTTTTCCTGGGCTCAACATCCGCTCGGCAAGTCGTTGCTGATGCATAACGAGTGACAGGTGCAGCAGATGATGCAAAACCCTCAGGCCATGGCCCAACTGCAGCAAATGAGACTGGGCAGAAGTTCAAGCCTGCAGTGTGCAGCCTTGATATGGGACCCATGGGACGGGGTAGGCCAACGGTGGCTGGTACAACTTGCTTCAACAAAGCGCTTTGCGCTTTGCTCCGTGCTGAGGATGGGTGGCATGGGGCGATAACCAAAGTGATTTCACTCACAAGCAATTCGACAGGCACGTGTGCCGCACCTGCCGTGGTAGTATCGCTTAGCAATGCTACCACTAAAGATGCACAGATCCTGCTCAGTCGTCACGCATGAGCAGGGTTTGAGTCAAAAGTGAGTGTGATTGGCGGTATGGACGATTGTACTACGTGTATCACAATCATCTTACTTCTTTGCAACCATGTGGCCCGAGTTGACAGGTACCAGATGGGGTCGGAAAGCATGTTCTTCTAGTCGGCCAAACAGACTTTTCTGCTTCAAGCGGCATGTGATGGCCAGGTTTTCTTGTTGTAGGCACTAGATACGGCCTGTTTCGAAACATGGTTTCTGTGCGGACCGTACGTGCCAAGGGAGTACAGGATCAGGTTGACACCCTGGATCTGGTGCTGAGACCATTTCGGGCAGATGTGCTGGTGTTCTTTCCTGGTGACATTTCTGCGAGTCGTGAGGAGATGGTTATGGATCCGGACCTGAAGCCCTGGCAAGACTGGAGCACCGAGTCACTTGCCATGATGCTGGCATCACGCTTCCAAGATCTACATATTGTCGTGGTTCGCCCTTCACGCCAACACGAAGGTTACAGTTGCTTTGATCATTTTCTGGAAACGAACATTACAGGAGACCCCTTGGATGGAACGTATAGTGCTTGTTCCTGCACAGCAACAGAACATCTGCTGCTTCTTTTGAAAGATCTGTCCAAAATCTTTGGCCTGAATCAAATGAGCCTTTGCGAATCGTTATACGTCCTTGGCTTTAGTAAAGGAGGAACAGTGCTCAACCAACTCTTAACCGAGATTGGCACGGCCACTGAGCAAATGTCCTCTGTGTCCCTATTCCTGTCTGTTCTTCGAGCCCTAGTTTGGCTGGATCCTGGAGTAAACGACGGATGCTGTGTTTTTATATCGGATGAAGACACCATGCACCTGGCAGCTGCAAAGTTGCGACTGACGCGGCCGTTGACTCGCCTGTGTGTCGCGTTCTCGCCTTTCCAGTTATACTCAGAGGACTATATGTACGAGTATGATGATGACGAAGAGATACCAGCAACTTCGACAGAGCTTGGACTCGACCGGCTACAATCTGTAATGGTGCAGGAGTCCATACCCTTCGAGGTAGAGCTTTGCTGCTTCGACCGGCAGGCATCGTTGCAGACACACTTCGAGGTCATCAGAGAATTCGCGCTTTTGAGACGTCTGCTCGATTCGCGAGGGGAATTTACTATCCAGGAGAGCACTCATGCGAAGAGGTCATTGACATTTGCTTCTGCAATGCATGCCGCGCGCAACGGTGTCAAGCGAGCGAAGACTCTGTCATTGACCTGCTCATGCATGTAAGGACATGTGAAAAGACTCAGGAACGGCGTTTAGCAGAATCAGCTGCGCGGCGCTTGTCGAAGCAGACATTTACATTTCCTGAAATCATCGCTACCGGCATCGCTACGGCACTTGCTCGAGCGAACATGATGAACGACCGAGACGAAGCATGATTCTTGTAGTCCTCACGTTTCATCCAAGACGTCAGCACCTCAGGTTTTCCCTCCTCACATGTGCCCAAAATCGGAGTTCAGCGTAGCAACATATTAGAACCTACAAGTGGAGCAAAGTCCCAGGCCCGTCACGGGCAATAGGTTCCGGCAAGCATAGACAGTCGTTGCTGCAGCCAAGTGGGGCTGTCTGTGGCCATGATCGGCTGAGATGCTTGTTGATGGCGGCCGCAACGAACTAAGATTACCTTTTCAACACACCATAGTTGTCCTGTGGCAGAAGTGCGAGCACATAAAGCTTTCTTGTTCCAGGAACCTATTTGCGTGCAATGCTGCATGTGCTTCATATTACTCCCGTTCACGATTCTGGTGATTTGGGTGGCTGTTGGGAACTCAGCACGATCATCTTGTGACAGCAGCAGCAATGACATGGTCCACGAATGCCGTGACAACGCCCATGCCGTGTTGCGCACGTGCACAGCTGTGCAACTAGACTGCCAGCTTTCTCTCATCACTAAGCCCTGGCTGACGTCAGCAGCACCGATGACGAGTCGCATGTTTGCATTAGCGGACTTTGTACGCAGGACATTCCTGCCTTGTCCGATGCTCCGAGGTTTGGTGTTGCCCGCATTTGGCCTCACGGTGGGTGCAGTTCTGTACTGCCTCCCAGCCATGGCCGGAGGAAAAGGCAAGTATTCTCAAGTGATTCAGATGCTGTTTGTAAGAGTGCTGCTTTGGGAGGATATGCCGGGTCGTCAGCCATGAGCGGGGAAGTTTCAGGAGCATTCTTGACTCAGTGACAGGCTGTAGAGTATTCTTGCATACCAGCCACACCTGTTTTGGAGTGTGAAGGATCGCTGGTGCGTCGGGTGAGTCCAGCCGATCATTTGGAGGCATGGCTTTCCATGCAGGGGAGCTGTAGATATTGACATCGGTCAGGTGCAGAGCGCTTCTGATTCAAGCTGACGCAATGCACCGCTTAAGACAGCAAGAGAGACCGGTCTCACCCCAGATTCAGCTTAAAGTTTTCAGTTTCCCAAAAAGGGCAGCCTGCAGTCGTGGCCCGTGCCCGAGTGCCCCTCAGGAATCTGTACAGCCTAAGCATGGCGCTCGTTGGACCTCTGGAGCTTCAGCATCAGAAACTGTGAGCCACCTTGGAACCTGTTGTGTCCATGTTGCGGCTGCCACCTTGTTGCTGCTTGATCGCTGCATTTTTTTGTGCCAGGGTTGCTGCTCAAACTCCAGTTGTGCAATTGTGGTACTGTTTTTTGCCAAGCGTTGGTCTTCGAGCATCATGCTCGCCTTGTGTACGCCAAGCCCACCCAAGCTCAAGCATACAGGTTCGGTATGAACAATCTTGAGCTTATCTCGCGATGCTTTGCACAAAAATGACATGCGCAGAAAGAACAGTTTGTAAAACCAAAAGAGCTCAATGTAAAGCAAGTAATGTTACATGCGTCAATTTCTGCGTAGCTTTTGTCGCTGGCATTGAACTATTTAGAGCTCTGCATGCAAAGATGGCCCTGGCGTGTACGTGCCATTGCAGAAGCTGGACACCAACGAGCATGGCAGGCTGGAAGCGGGCGAGAATTGAGGGCTGCAAGCAACAGAACTCTTCCAAAGCATTGAAGCAGGATGCCCTGGCCATCTTCGCACAGGCTCAATGCTCACAGCTTGGACCCCAGCACTTGCGATCGGACTGGATTCCTAGCGGCAGTGGGAGTGGGAGCGTTCAGCGTTCGAGGCCAAGCAGGATTCTCTACAATGCAACGATTGCGGCTTGTGGGCGCTCCAATGCTTGGCGTGCATCGGTAGCTTTGCTCTCGGAGCTGAGGCACGTCCAGAAAACGAGTGTGATTGGGAGGTAGGAGTTTTCGAGGGACCCAGGGGGCCGGAGAGGGCTGAAGGGAGGGGGAGAAGGCTGGATCCTGGTCTGCTTGTTCCAGACGCCTGTCGGCCAGACTAGATGTGGGCTGTACCCTTCGCATGCGTACTTCTCAGGCATTGAGAAGGCTTCGGCATGTCACTTCAAAGTCCTGTGGAGAATGTCATCAAGCCAGGCGTGTACAGCAGCCAGATGCGAAAAGCTGCACGTCAGCAATCACATTCCAACTGGCCTGAGCGACGTTTGTCATGCAGAGTGAGTAGAAAGAAGACTTCTTTCTGAGCATGCTATAACGGAGTGTTCTTTAAAAAGCTCTTGGGTTCCCCGTTCATCGATTCGTGGGAGTCGGAGCTGAGGCTTTGGAGCTGCTGCCATGGCTCTACGAAGCCAAGCGAAGCTCCAAGCGTGGCTTTTGAAGGTCATGGATGAGGTCACAGCTTTCGCACATCATTGTGTTCTGCATGTCCTCTGGGTGGCGTAGTGGGAGGAGCGGATACATCCTGATGCCGCCATCCTTAGCGCAGTTGCAACATCCTTGGAAAGAAGTTCTTCGTGGGAGGTGCAAGCAAGCCAACGAACACTGATGCTCAGACAGCTCAGACATTGGTGTTAGGAAGGCTTGCAAATGCTGGCATCCATTCATCCTGCTGATTGGGACGTGGTGGCTGTGGGCACGCTTGCCAGCACCCTTGCGAAAGGTGCGCGTGCAAGGCTGCAATGTGTGCTCGTAGCTATTTGGACACAAGCTTGTTCGGAGGTGCCTGCTGGTCACATGCGTTGCAGTTGTTGGAAATGGTGAAGCCGACTGTCGTGGTGATGGGAGCCGAATCTCGGGCACAAACAATTTCCAGCTTGACATGCTTCACCACTTTTTTTTGTAGAATTGAACGCTGTAAGGCACGATATGCTACTTCATTGTATACATGAGGCCCCGAAGCCTCAATGCTGTAGGTGATCTCCGCATGTGAGCGAACTCATCGCTGGATCATGGCACTGGAGACTCAGATGCTTTGAATAGCTGTAGCACAAGAAGCCTGCTGTGTCCAGGAGCTGCTGAAGCAGATGTGGCAGCAGGTGGCTTGTTTGCTTGACGTCTTCAGCAGAACTGCGGGCAATCTAGAAGCCGTTGAAGTCTTTTGCTCCGTGAGTTCTTGTTGCGGAGCCAACAGCAGCTGAGCTTGCGCTTCTTGTTTTAGTTGGAAGAGGCTTGATGGCTGAATTTTTGAGTGTAAGAGTTTTTGTACGAGGGCAGCCAGAGCTGGCTCGAATTCAGGAAGTTGTCAAATGTATTCACCTGTCTTGTGGTTTAGACTTGAACAGGCTGATCGGCTTCGCCTCTGCGTGTTGATTGCTCTTTTTGGGTTGCAGGTCTGCTGAGCCTAACAGAAGCCAACTCATGCATGACCAGGGGCCTGCACCAGACGTGGTCGTGATGGATTCAGTGCTTCGGGCTTGCGGCAGAGGCCAATGCGTGCAGTGCTTGCCGGTGCTCAAAGCAAACATGTGGCAGGCCTTGCTTGGCAAGCTGTGCTGAGCTACTCGGACACTAACTTGTTGGTAGAACCTTAAGATGCTTGTTTAGTCACTGGCAGCAATGAAAATCATAAGGTCTCTTTGGCATCATGCCAGAGCAGCTCCTTTACCCTGGTGCCATAGGCACGGGTTAACACTGGAATACAGTTGCGAGCAGAGAGCAGGACTGGCACCTGGCAGTGGTTGACATGTTGCCAGGCTTTAGCGCAGTGTCTCTGGCCTTGGGCTGTGGGCGCCAGTGGGCAAAGATGCTGGACATGCTCGAGGCACGATAGCCCGGGTAGTTGCCCCTGAAATTATGACTGCTTCTTTCGTGGGGGCTTTGGCAGGTGATGGCGCATCAGCGGATGGCCTCCGATTTGCCAGCCCTCTCGATGGGCCTTGAAGAAGCCGAGCAACGAAATCTGCAGGCCTCGGATCAACGCAAAGTTCATGCTTTGGATGCCTGGGTGTTCAGAGGCTGTGGAGAGACAGCTGCTCAAGACTCTCGCCTACGCCGTGCCAGGCAGAAGGGTGTGCAAGCTTTCGTGCTTGGAGGGATCCAAATCGGCTCGTTTGCAGGCCTGCGTCCCTTGACCAGAGTCAGCACGGAGCGGAGGAAATGAATGCGAGTTTTGTGTTCGCACTTTCATGTGCTTGCTACATCATTTCAGCATTGACTGTCCACAAGCGCAGCAAAAACATGACATTCCGCAAAAAGGCAGCCTTTCGCAGGCAATTCAATTCCCCATGCCTCTCATGTGCCGAAAGAGCCATCTTGTCATGTAGCTTACGAGCTGGCAAGTCTGTTCGATTGTAGTATGTTGTAGCAGTAACGCGGCCAAGCGCTTGATCAAGTTTCACTATGGCAAAAAATGTCCTTTGGAAGAACCAGCAGGCGACTTGCCGTTCTTGTTTTGATGGTGACTGGGTGCAGCTTTACAGTACGGCTTTAGCATGCCTGCCCAGGCTTTGCGTGGACCTGTTTTACTTTTGCGCCGGTTCGTGGCTGGAAACCCAAGGCATCATGAAACTCCGCGCAGTCCTTTTTTGTTTTGGCAGTCCGTGCTGCAAACCCTGGAAGAAACTTTACCTGGATACTGACCTTCAGACCTTGATTTTTTCCCGAAGTGAGCTCATTGTCGTAGACGTCGTGCTTGTTTGCTGAAAGCATGGCCCAGCTGAGGCAGTTCTTTGGATGTTCAGAAGAGGAGTTGGCGGCCAGAGATGCGGCAATCGCATCAGGCCAAGCTTCCTATGCTCGAGCCCGCGAAAAGGAGATGTCTCTCGGGCCTCCACTAGGCCTGTCACTGACTTACCTTTTTTTCTTCGAGCCAGATGCCTCACATGGATGATATGTATATCTACGCATGTATGTACACATTTTGTGTTACTCGTTACCCCTTCCTCCTCTACGCAGCTACCCTTTTCTTGTTCCAAATGGCTTTGTGCTTAAATTTTGTTGACCATGTCCACATACGGATATATATATATATGTATATATACTTAAGGGGCTGCGCCCAGG